CCCAAAGTTTTGGCGAGCCCTCCCATAAGTCAAGATCAAACCAGGGACCGTCCACCGCCTTTTCGCATCACTTGGGGTTCTACAGAGACCAGAGGCAGCTATCAGGCGCCAAGTAATGACAACGAAAGACTCATTGCTACTACAAGAAACACCGAGACCCTTTTGCCAGGTCCAATGCAATTGCAGAAAAAAACTACGACAAAGAGGTTGATGGCTACTCCGAACGCGGATGCTCGAACACTCAGCGTCGGTGGGGAGGAATGAGGCCAAATCGCAGGTTGCAGTTCATTCGGCGAAACCTGGCCAAGACCAAAATAGTTCCAAGATGACAACCGCATGATCCGCAATAAGATCGGATATACACTTACTAAACTGGAATTAAGTTAGCCATCTCGCCCGGTTTCGCTGAACAGGTCAACTCCACACATGGAGCAGAGGAGCACTGTCAGGACAGCAATCCGACACATAGACAGTCTTGTGTCGAGAGTGAGTCCACGGCGACTGTAAACAGTCGAGGACCTGGCTGGGTTGGTAGATTTCAGCTAAACTTCGTCGTTGACTTTAATATTCCTTGACTTTGTTTCCAAATTACGCGGATTCGTCAACAGCTACGAGGCGATTGCCGTTGACGGTTGCAATGAGCTTGGATAATTGAAAAATCTGTTCTGGTTGAGACACAAAAACGCGAGGCAAAGTAGATGTGATAGGTGGGACACGAATTTTATCCGTCGCAGAGAGACAATAACAGAAAGGGGTACTTCATAGACAAAGAGTTGCAGGATTCAATCACTACGCTACTGTATACTCATGACAATTAACGGCTCCCCCTGTGGAGGATAGTTGCCCGCTTTAGCGCTAATAGCTTGATGGCCGGCGTGCGGGTCGTGACCTGCTGAACCTTAATCACCTGTAGTGGACTTGGGCGTGATTATTACTTGGCTATCTGGCTCCTTGGCGTTCGCCTGTGTGTTCCCCGAGTGGCGAATCGCTTTGGGCAGGTCGTTGCACTTGTTTATAGACCGGAGGGGGGCGTTAACTTGAGTCAAGTAACTCGCAACTCACACGACTGTCACCTCTAGTGATAATTGCAGCCTCATCAAATTTGAATACGTGGCCGGGTCTCGTCGAATGAGCCGCAAATTAGCGTCATTTCTCCACACAGCTGTCGTGTGTTTGGCAATTTGCGACCTAAGAAGTCTCCCCGTTTGGCCGACGTAGTTGCTTCGTTCTAAACTACACCAGATCCTAAAGACGACTCCAGATGTTTCTTGTCATGACAAAAGCCGTTTTGTCTGTTGGTCGTGCTCACGATTGATGAGTCCAGAGACGAAAAGAATGAGACCCTTCTGTACCTCTGCTTTAACTGTGGGATTCAATTAACCCTAGAGATTTTCGTTTCGGCCCCTATACGACGGATGTCGAATAGTTTTCCGTCCGTTCGATAGCTAAAGTTGATTCTACTAACGGGCTTCCACCAGCATTGCGGAGAACATGTCTGAAAAGCGTTAGCCCTGGTATGAGAGTCTGCTTCACCTTATTTATCGCCATGTAGGCCGTGAGATAGGTTCGTTCGTCTTCGTGAAGGTCATAATGACTGACCGCTTGCGTGAAACATTCTGGATATCTGAGCATCATAACCAACCCTTAGAGTGCTATTTGTTTACGGTGTCGAAGGTACTTGCGAGATCGACGATAGTAGAGTACAGGCTGATCATCCCTGCTTGGACGGAGAACAATTACTTAAAGATGACACCATATTGCTTGTGAAATCAGCACAATGTATCTAGATGGAGTGCCTGTTTCCGGTGAGTATTCGGACGATTGAGAAGAACACGGGCGAAAGTTGGCGAAGGAAGAAAATACTCCGAAAATCGACTGTTTTCCTTTCATAAGGTGAAAGGCAAAATGGTGACGTCTCCGACGTCCCGCGGAATTTATCATCTTAGCCATGTCGGTTGGAGCAGGGAGATCATCACGACCAAAAGTCGAGGGTCACCGCACTTGTAGGCTTAAATGCCTAGGGGTTTCTAGGCGACACTAGTTCTTTTCAGAGAGAGAGAGATGTCATTGTTGTCGCCGAAACCTGTCCAAAAACCAGAGGTTGTGATTTTTCCAAGTTGCGATCTGAGTAGCTACGAGAGATATTTTGGCGTAGAAACCCAGCAACAAATCGGTGAAATTGCCGAAGAAAGGTGATATGAAACATGGAGACGGCCACATATAATTGATTGCAACTGTAGGTGAAACATGGGTATGGAAACCGATCAACTCTAGGGCTAAAATCCTGCAAACCTCTTTAAGGCATATTGTGCAACAGGCCGATTTGTAGCCCAGGAAATGAAGTCCTACGCTGCATTCTCACCAAAAATCGAGGATTAGGACCTTGGGCCCTATGAAGACTAGAAAATGAGGTGATAAAAAAGAACATTTGTGCAGATCACACGTTGAACCCAGAAAAGAGATCGCGCAAAAGAAACGCCTTGAAAGAAAGAAAGAAAGAAAGAAAGAGGGAG